TAAGAAAAGCCCTAAATTCATTTTTCCTTTTTCTTTCTGTAGCACAGAGGTGCTAATGAACATTTTCCAGCTTTTCTTGTAAACTCTATAACTTTGCAAAGAAAGGTTATGTAGAGCTGGCAGATGTCTCATTTTAATCAGAAATTTCTGGGCTACAATTAAATTCCATTAAGAAAGCCTTTGGTTATCTTCTAGAGTATTTGAAAAACTGGTTTTTCGGAAAACCGGTTCAAAAACCGAACGTTAGTCCAAACGGTTGTGATATTCGGATTCAACTCCCTCGATTACCTATTATTCACTAAGTTTCCGCTCGAAAGCGACTGGACAGTTGGGGATCCTCCCTCGTGAGATTTTCAAAATTATTTTGTCCGCATTTTTTGAAGGAATTATTCGATTTTATTCAAACTTATACAGTAGATAGTACTAAAAAAGTACTTTGAACTAGCAGCTAAATCATCCTCGAAATAATTTTCTTCTAGAAGAAGTATTACGACAACATGTAAAACAAATTATCGTATTTCGTCGTATTTCATTATAATCCCCGAAGAAGTATTACGATCATCGTTTACCACTTCGTATTGCATCGTATTTTTATGTAAATTACAGTTTAGGCGTCGTGACGCTTTGATCTGGGTACAAGCAAACACAGTAGTACTCTAATACTCAGAATCTTCCGCAAGTCACACCGATCTCCATCTTTCGTAGCTAAATGAAAAACTTATTGTTTGGAGTGATAAAACACAGTCGCTCTTGAATAAATACAAAGGAAAGTTGTTAGAAGTGACTTCTAGTCATAATGGCTGAAATTCCTATTCTTCATTTTTAATAATTTTTGTTTCTTATTTTCAAATGGATATCTTTTTACACTCTGTTTTGTTTCATTCTGAAATATTGAGAGTGGTTTCTTATCGCCGGATACTACGAGATCCCAAATTTCTTTTAATTGTGCTATAAGTTTCTTCTTGTATATTATATCTTCATTTGTCGTTGTAACACTTCGCTGTAAAATAATAATTCGTTTTTCAATTAAATTTTCACATGCCGGTCGAAGTTCCTTCCAACTCGATGGTTTTCGAACACACATTGCTTTTATATACGAACGAAGTTGATCAATGTCCATGTATTTCATTTTATATAATTGTTCTCTCAATGATCGCGTCGATAAATAATCTCGGAAACACCAAAGGTAATCAACACTTTCTCCTTCTATCAGTTCATTAATATCAATGTCATTATCAATTGTTGTAGGCTGGTGACTGAGTGGTTTTAGTGAAAAGAATGGGGGAAATAATTTATGATGATTATAGTAAAATGAATAGACTGGACTAATATAGGGTTCATAATAAGACATATGATCTAGTTTTAATTTAAACTGAATCCAGGTCACTTTTTGTGTGAAAGCGTGTTTTAGATGAGTGAATTGTAAGAATTTTGTCAAAATGCGTTTTAAAGCTTCTAATGAATCGACGAGAGTTTGGTAGTCGTCAGACTTCGTGGGATCAATTGACGAAAGAAGTGTAAAGTCGTATAACAAATCGTCAAATTGATACAAATCTTTAATGGTATCAAATAATGTTGTAAGGTCTTGTATAGTGCGTATTATCTTTACATCACTCGTTTTCATATAATCTGATATATGAGACCAGGAATTGAAGGACATTGGAACTACAATATCTTTAGAAGTATCATCATCGGTTTCATAACCCAACCAATTGAAAAATAGTGGCCAGTTTATATGGCTAATCGATCGTTCACGATAGAAGACGATTTCTAACTCAGGAGCAATATCCCATGCCGGTATCTGTAATATATAAAAAAAAAGATATAAGTACCAGATCATTTCTGGTACAAACATTTTTAAACAAACTGCAGGAAACAAATCATTCTGTATCAAATCATATACGTGTTTAGTTTAGCTTGTCCATATAAATAACGGAGTGAGCTTAACCCTAGAAAGTTAATTCTGTTTGAAACACTCTGATAGGTAAATTTAAGTCACCGTCCGGCAGCAAAGCGATCAATAAAATGAGTGAAAATTGAGAGAAAACTTATTAAATATGAAAGCTCTATCGATGTTTAAGTGCAGAATTTCATAACAAGTTTTCGTATTTTAATCAAGAAAAAAAGGTTTACCGCATGAAAATCAGCAGTACACTTACCACTTTCGGTTTCGTCATTGATTCTAATAATTCATTAACAACTTCAGTTGATGGTATGTGACAACATTCCTTTAATACTGTCCATAATCCGTTTGGTGTAACATTATTTTTACAATTTTTATGTAAACTAACAAAATATGTACAAAGATCATTGCTAATTGATTTTAAAAGATACAATAATCCAGTTCGACTACTTAAGTTTAATAAACTAAAGTTTAACAGGTGAATCAATTGTTGATAAGTTGGTATCGATATGAATGAACATGATAGACATTGTTTACCCGAAACTAAAAGTAGTAAATAAACAGAAGACAGAAAACAGAGAGTGATGGGCAGACCAATAGCTTTCCAAGTCAAAATTAAATTCATTAGACCATTTTGCTTAAAGTTCTCTTGAGTTTAATTCGTACGGCGAAATCTGTTTTTGAAAACAAAGATATTTTGCACTAGCAAAAACTGTTTTTCCAGTTTTTTCTGTTCACAGACAATCTAACACACAAAAGATGTAGATCAAGTCAGTTAAAACTCAAGTACGTTCCGATTGTCCATCTCAGGAGTAAAGCTAAAACTAAAGTTCAGTTGTTTACTTACTAACTGGCTCTAACAGTAATGCAATTTCTTGTAATAAGTGTTGTGAATGTAGAACTAATTTTCGAATGTTTCGAATATTTGTACCATTCAAATTTAGAAAGACGGTAAATTGAGTTTCATTTGAATGGGAGGAATGTGTCAATACCTGAACAGAAATAAATGATAAAGCAAGTATTCCTTGCTTGGAAAAAGTACTTGAGCTTGTTTCAACGTTGCATCATAGAGAAGACACATTTTCAAAGCGATTCTGATACTTCAAAAGAAAACTGTAATAAAGTCTAAAAACGGTATCATTGCGTGTCTATCAACAGAAAAATACACTTTAGCGTATTAAAAAAAGTCTTGCAGGGTACTCTCTGAGCAAACACGTATGTAAAACAGTCTCACTAATTAAGCTTTCTTCCAAGCCACAATGGCAGTGGTATTAATCACAAGTAACGTGAATCGAGGCGACCCACTGAGTCATTTGCCTCATTGACAAGCCCGTTTGACTCAGAATAAGGAGAGCCTTAAGTCTAACTTTGACTCTCCCTCGTACAGAAATACTTTTAATGTACACTTATAAAGTACCGAACTTGATTTTCAACTGTAGAAAAACATCTCTGCAACAAGAGAGTTATATTTTATTTCTAACAAACAAACCCAACTAGCGTCTATACCTAGGTGGAACGCGCTGTTGCAGTGATTTAAACGGTAGCGCCAGTGTTCCGCACTGCTCGACGCTGGCGCGGGCACGGCTCCCTAAATGTTGTAGTTAACGTAGAGTCCATTTCAAAAGTACCTGTCAGTCCAGAGAATTTCCGTTGTGCGCTATTGCAGATAAACCCTCGGTGGCCGCGAATTCAAAATATGGACCGCCCAGGTCAACGATCGCGACTAACTCGCGCTAGATCGCTATTATCTCGCGCTTGTCGCGGAGAGATCTCTATAAAGTCGCGTTGTCGCGGCGTGATTTCGATAAAATCGTATTTTTTTGAAAAAGTATCTTGTGACACTCGCGAAGCGAATTAAAACTCGCGGCGCGATCGCTGTACACACGCGATCTCACGGCGGGACTCTAAATTCTGCATCGAGTCGATCGAATCACAAGAACACAAAAGAATTCTTTTTCTCTTATTTCAAAGTGAGAATTTATATTTCTTATACAAATAGATAATCCACATTCTGTTTATAACATAAATAGTACACCATGTGTCTAAAGCACGTGTATGATTGTGTTTTTGTTATTCCTCATTTTAAATGAGATATGCAAAAGAAGTCAGTGTCCGTTATGTACAAGACACTTCATATTTTCTTAACGAAGTGTGCAGACTATTACCCGATTTAACGAATAAAACTCGAATTTTTTGCAGTTTATATCTGTTTTTTCCACTTTTTCAAAAAATAAGTAATATACAAAGTAAGTACACAGCAATTTCAACGAACGAAAGAGCATGGAAATAAATCTTTTCCACTTTTGTTGTCACAAAGTTGAAATCGTTTTGTTTAACTATTTTGAATACCAAAACTGGGTGCTCTTTTTCACAAAATGTGTGAAATCGAGGGACTTCTACTATTATATGTACAACTTCGTTAAATATATTAACTTCGCAAGGTCTCAAAATAAAAATGCACTAATGTGCGAAAAGCATCAAAGGTTGATGTCATCGCAATCGTGAGTATTCTCGGTGTAAGATCGCTTTGTCGTTGGTGACTTTCAGAATGTAGCGAGTATCAGTTCGGACCTGTTTGCCACACAGAGGACTGGGGCTAAGCCATTCCGCTTCATTCACAGGATGCTAGATTGGCTCTAGCAACGAACGGATATTAGCGTCTAGTATTCAGGGATACGCATTCTCTGAAAGTCCAAGCGTGAATGTTTTCTTCACATACGGCAAACGTTACCTTATTGGTAAGGCTCACGTTAGAATCATAAGACATCAGCCTCTCTCACC